GCGCACCCACACCGGGGAGAAGCCCTACCAGTGCTCCCACTGTGGGAAGAGCTTCTTCGAGAGCTCGGCCCTGATCCGCCACCAGCGCATCCACACCGGGGAGAAGCCCTACCAGTGCCCCCACTGCGGGAAGAGCTTCAAGCAGAGCTCGTGCCTCATCACCCACCAGCGCACCCACACCGGGGAGAAGCCCTACAAGTGCAGTGACTGCGGCAAGAGCTTCAAGCAGGGCTCAGCTCTGAATCGCCACCATCGCATCCACACCGGGGAGACCCCCTACCAGTGCCCCCACTGCGGGAAGAGCTTCAAGCAGAGCTCGTGCCTCATCACCCACCAGTGCACCCACACCGGGGAGAAGCCCTACAAGTGCGGCGACTGCGGCAAGAGCTTCATCGTCAGCTCAGCCCTCATCAGGCACCAGCGGATCCACCTGGGATAGCCGCCCGCCGCTGCTCCTCCTCCAGGCATCCAGTCCCGCTGCTTTTGGGGGGCCAAGATGGATGGATGGAGCTGGGGGCGGCTCAGGGGTCCCGGGGGCTTCCAGCCGCGGTTGGGGGAGCAGGAGCCTTGCCGAGCCATGCCGGCTCGAGCGGCCGAGACCCGTCCTGAGCCTGAGCAGGCACTGGTGGGAGAGGAGCCGTGGTGGGGATGGACTCAAGGGGACGTTTCGTTTCTCCCTTGCGGAACGGGGATGTGACACCGGCACCAGCTGCCCATGGGGATTCCTTGACCCTGTCCCGGACGGAGCTGTGGGAAGCCCGTGCCGGGCAGGCGGCCGTGGTTCGCTCCCTGCCATGGGGCCGAGGGCTCGGGGCGCCCCGAGCCACCTTTCCGCCACGCCGTGTCCATGCTGTGGCCGTTGTGTGGATGGGGCCGAGCCTTTTACCTGCCTGTGTTTCGCCATGGGGTTTGGGGGGGAAAGGGGAGAGGAAAGGGGGGGGACCCCAAAGCGGAGCCCCGCGGCGTGAGCCGCGCGGCACGGCTGTCTTCTCCCTGCATGAGCACGAGGGGTCCTGTAACTCATTTATTTGGCAGCAGCCCTCCGCAGATCGGGCTGTCGGAGCAGCTCCGCCGACGCCGCTGGCAAGGTAATTTCGGCACGCGCCCGGTGCTCGGTGCGCCGTGGCGCGCGATCCCTCTCCTTTCCCTGCCTGCCATAGTAAAGCGTTGTTGTTTGCCGGCCGCGGGCTGCGCACGCCTGTGTCTTCCCCCAGGGCCGGGCCGGGGGCTGCAGGGGCTGTCGCTGCCGAAAGGCGGGGGTCCCCTCGCGCCCCCGGGACTCTCTTGCCCGGGCGCGGAGTCGCGCGGCGGGGAGCGAGGGCGCCTTGAGGCGGGGGTCTCGGGCTGCTGCGGGGCCCGCGACCCTGCGGGACCCCCAGCCCAGGGTTCGGGTCTCTGGGCCGCTCCGAGGGCCGGGGGG